TCTGGAAGTCCTGCTCTTCCTTGGCTCCTTACCAATCTTCATCCTTCTCTTTTTCCTGGGCAAGCCTTCGAGACTGAAGTGCTACATCATGGTTGCATGAAACAAGTCATGTGTGACCACCATCGGGGTCCTCACTTAAATACATATCCACGGATATGCATGTGTCCACATTACAGTCTGACAGTCTGCACAATACCATTCTGAAACAGATCCTTCGAAAGATGGGGGTATCTTTTGTGATGTTAATTGAGGAGGATCCAGACTGTTCATCATCGGGGATACAGAGAACTAATGAAGCAACAATGCATGAGGAACGCGATTTACAAATGCGACTTTCCCTATTTCTGAAGTTCTGGTCTCCACCGTAGTAGACAAAGGAGGTCAACAAGTTTGTAAAATCACGTTTCGTGCATTATGATCTCACGTTGATGAAAGTTCAAGGGATCTGAGAATAAGGGAGTGCAAGAATAGCTATTTTTCTCTTTCTTGATGGGTATTTTAGAAGGGACTCGAGGCCAAGGTCTCTCCATCTCTTGTTGATCATCCCATTAATGTATAGGACAAAAAAAAGGGAAGGAAAGAAAGAAGTTGTGCTGAGAGAAAGAGAGAGACGAATTACCTGCTGATAAACAGTGAGTGTGGGAAAACAATTACGGCTGGATCATTACTAAGCTATGGGCCATAGTCCATGGGCCCAGTGACTAATAACCAGACGGGGAGGCAGATGACAACTCTGGCATCCCTGAAGCGTAGACAATTGGTGCGTAATTGCCCGCCTCCAAATGGCCTCCTCCATGTCATTGTCAACTTTTCTCTCTCCTCTCTACCTTAAGGCTCTCTCCTTTTTTTCTCGAGTACTTCTTTTATTTGCACCTGCTCTGCACGTAATTATAAGTTGTTTTTCCTGCTACTGGCTACAACAGGATGCCAGAAGAATATTTAGGCATCGTTGCAATTAACATGGAGAAATCGCGTTTTGGTTGAGTTCCCAGAGGCCTTCCCTAATTGTTTCTCTCGCATTCTCTGTGTTACTTCCAAAGACGGTGCCGCAGAGACGAGACGAATAAAAATACTGTGCAGTGCGTAGTAAAAATTATGCAGTCTTTCATCCGATATTGCAAGCATGCATGTCTTTATTGTAGTAGTACTTTCTTTTTGTATGCTGTGAGAGGAGTTTCGTTCTCTAGATTTCAGGAAAGCAAAAGTCAGTTAAGAATATCTGCGAACTGATCCCTTCGTTTCGCCAGTTTCACTCTATTGCCAGGTTCCGACGTGCAAAAACTTCACGTAAATGCAGATACAAAAATGACTTTGCAAAAAGGATTTGTTTTTGCTAGCAAATTTCATGTACGAACTGTACCTGGACTGTTGAAGGTCACGGAGGATGTGCCGAATGCTCAAGTCCGTTATCGTTGATGGAAGTAAGATTATATTAAAATTGAACAAGCCTATAGTTATAGGAATATAATTGTATCTCTTGTGACGCGTACTTCTGGCTCTTAAAATCAAGCTCGACAAGGAACGTTGAAAAAGTAGACGTGAATGAGGCACGGTCCCTTCATCTTTCAAGAGGCATCACTGTAATACTGGGTGCTTTGCTAACGGTTCTTCTTCTACACCCGTGTAAAATTTCGGCTCTATATCTAATGTAAATGATATTTTAAAGCCAGATTATCAATTACTGTCGAAGGGCTGTCCCTCTCGAAATAGCACTCACCTGGGAAGTGTGCTTGCTGGTAGGGCAGATCCTCCACTGGCTTCTTTCAACTGCATGTGAATGCTGACAACATTATCGCCTCTTATAGGTGAAAAAAAAAAACTTAATGACAGTCCTTTGTTCCTCTTCTGAAAAATAGCCATATTTAATCAGTTGATTCAATCCAGTGTAATTTGAAAGTCTGAAAAAATTAATGAGCTTAGATACAAAGCTGAAATTACACAGGTGTAGAAGAAGCATAGCTATTAAAGTACTCAGCATAATAATGTTGCTCCTGGAAAGATGAAGGAGCCATGCCGCAGAGATCGGTACTTTTTGAACGCACCTTGTATTTTGGGGGAAGACTTCCCACGCTGTAATGAAAAGTGAGAAGTGTTCCTGAAGACTTGGCACCACTGCAAGTGTACAATATGACTACATGTGGCGTAAAGAAAGAGTGCACTCCGCGTTCCAGTCTAGATTTTACCTTTATACCCGAGTTTTCGTCCATTCTTCTTTCACTCGGGAGAGAGCGATCGAGTGTTGCTGTCCATAATGTGTTTCTTCGCAATAACTAGCATCTTCCATGATGTTTCTTTGTGCATTAGGTAGCTGGTTAATGGGCATTTCGTGTTGAAAGCTGTGCGCAATATGAATCTTAAATGGTATAGAAATAGATGTAGGTGGAGGAAATATTTTCGTTATGTACATGTGCATGGATGTGGGTGTAATGATTTTAAAATTGGGGAAACGCTGGTATATGCTTAGGGATTGAATTTCGGAAAACCCAGTATAGATATTGGAATAAATTTACGAACCATATTTTGGCAGAAGAGTCAAGGGAGTGAGGGGGGGGAGGGGTTAGTGGGGGGCATTGCAGCAGATCGGGATGCCAAACTTCACAAAATCAGTATCAGGAGAGAAAAATATTATCTGCGAAGGGGCCAGGGGGCGGCGCTTCGAGTCGGTCATTCGTTATGCTCAACCCCGTCCTGACATCTACCGAATCGACATAAAACTGTATACTTTTATAAAGTTCGCATAGGTGTCGTACTCAAACACCATCCAATAGCTTTCGGTAGCCATAGGTCCACCTTTTCGTCAAGTACGACATGAACGATATAGCAGGCCGGTGAGTTTCACAGTTTCATGCACTGTTACAGTAGCTTCACAGAATGATTCATGAATGAATTTATTCGCAATGAGAGACGATGCAGATGTTATACCCTCGAAGCGTCAGGAGTTACAAACTCTGCTAAAATCGCATGAAACCACCTGACACGACTCGAAGCGTCTTCGTCCGCAAAACTGAACCAGATGCTCATAAAATAACGTCTTTCTAAAACTAGAATATATGCTTCATTCGAATCTCGGAGAGATGAGACTTCGACATGCAGCGAGGTATTCGGGAGAATTTGTCAAAATTACACTTGGCATGCAAGTCTGTCTCCATGGACGAAAGACGCGGGACGATGAGGTTTCGAAATCGCATAAAATATGAGACTCAAGAAAAGCTTTTCACTTTCATTGGTGAAGAAACACCATTTCAAAACCCCTAAAGAACGTAGAAAAGTTGATTATTTTCCTTCTGATTCTCCTATTAAAATTAATCAAGGGGCAATGTCAGCAACAGCTGCAGTTGAACTCTATAAGTCAACTCTGATAGTAAATTCTTCGCGGCAATTTCCCCGATATATCGCAGATTTGTGCACTCAGTTGTGCTTCGCTATCGCAGAGGAAAGACGGTTAAATTTAATCATCAAAGACTTGTACTTAAAATGAAGCCTAATGGTATGCAACCTTGAAGTGCTGCACCTGCGGTAGTCGATTCAAGGAAGAGGAAGAAATGCGTGACTAAAATGTTCAGCTCGGTTTTACGATGGAAGGAAAAAATCCAGGCTATAGAATCCCTGATGATAGCAAAAAACGCGAGCGACTCGCTGGAAAGGTCGGGACGATGGACGGAGTCGTCTGCACTCATTCGAGGTTCAAATGTCACGTCATGAATATCGCCTTTCGCCCTCGTAGAAGATGCGAGTTAGGGGTCTTTCGTGGTCCCGGAAGTGGAGAAGTGGTGACGCAACTATGGCTCCTAGAGTCAATCTTCCTTTCAAGCATCCTCTGCGTTGAGCGAGACAGATCGGATTCCATGTTTGCAGCGCCAAGGTCGTCTCTCCCCCCTCGTTTCACTTGTCTTTTCTTTCAGGCGATAGCACTCTTCGGGGGATTCCCCTCATGCATATTTATCATCGTCTTCCCAGACCTTCCCCATAAGTATTTCCTTGGCATCCGGACTGCGTAAAGGTAAAAGCACTCCGAGTTAAGCATTTCAAGGTGTGCCTTGAATTTTCTCTAGGAGGGCTTCAAATTCCCACGGGAAAACGCTCGTATGGTCCGTTTCACGTTGTCTATCTGCGACGTAGAACAATCGCACGTATCCAACCCTGCTCTCATGATGAGAATTAAATCGCGAAGTTGGACTAGGCCTATTTGTAACTGGACGAAGAGCCGAAGTTCTCGAAATGACATGAGTGACATGTGATATGAGGTGTCGTCTGCCGGTTCTTGAAGACATTTTCTTCCATTACCGCATGTATGGAATGAGAAAGTTCGACGCGGAAATGTGTTATCTTTCCTATCGGAGGATCCTGAAATGGCACGACACGTCCTCTTGCTTTCACTCGATCATCGCCTAATGGAGTCGACGTTGAGAATCCCTCCATCCAAACGAAGCGAGCAAAGTGACTTCTCAAAGTAGAGCGTCCTTTTTCGAAACACTCAGCAGTACCTTTGCAAGCAATACCTGCAGTTAAAAACAGATTCGAGTTGGAAACTTACCTAGATGGAGAAACGAGACTGCTTCATGGGATGCAAACTGTTTTCGCTCACAAGCAAAGAAATTGAAGCATTTCATTGCGAATTCATAATTTCCATATTATATGCATATATCATACGCGAGCATCAGGAGAAAGTTATTTTCTTAAGAAGAGCAACAGACGTTCTAATACGTATTGAATGTAAGATATTTGCAAGTGTGCTTTTTGGACCGTGTAGGTGTGCATGAACCCGAGGGGAAAACCCGTGCTTCCGACGACCCTAATTCCAATCATTCAAATATCGCGGAACAGAGACAATATTGACGGTCCCAGATTTCCCTGAAGCCCTTTGTCGCCGGTTTTTCCCTGTCAGGGATCATATTTGACATTCAGCCATCAGTTCCTTTCCAGGAAAAAGCCATCATCCATATTTGCTGGCCTGTTTACGTGCGCTCCATGAAGGCACTAGTGGGTTCTACGGCGTAGAGCACATGCGCTGACTGAAATGCATGTGTCCGGGCTTATAAAAACGCCGGATGCCCCTCCGACTCCCATTCACTCATTCGCCATTCATTCAACTCCTCTTGTTCGCAGTGAAGGCAAACATAGTGGTTTTGTGCATCAGAGGTGCATCACAGGGCATCATGTGGTTTTATATTATCTGGGCCTCGATGGTCCTATGCTTGGGTCCGACTGCCTCTCGTACGTAATTTTCCTCCACAAAATCTGGCTTTTGTGGGTTTATGGTTGTTTCATTATTGTTCGACTCCCTCTTACGGGATTAATACCTTCTTTACAATTCCCGGAATCAGATTCCATCAGAAGGTAAACGTGGGAAAGGAAAAAGTCAAACGTTTTAATGGTGAAAAATCATTGGTTCTTCTGGGCTACCTTCGGAAAGTCTCGTGCTTTGAGAGTATCAATACCAAGGACACGTGACCAAAGAACGATAGTGCAGCTGCAGAGGGCGAAACGGATCCACGTTCCACGCTTCTCATATTCCAAAACATTCACATTGTGAAGAAGATTGTGGTAATATGTGGTGGAGTCAATCAAGGCTGAAGGTGCCGAGGACGTTTCCATTGGGGTAGCATTATGGGATAGTTTATTTTAATGGAAGGACGGTCAAGGGCTGTCACGCCACGAAGGTTCAATGTCCTTAGCATCATGCATGTGTGGACTTCATGAACACGTAACCGGTTTTCCCATCTTCTACTTCACTCCATATAGGGTACTTATAGGATTGGGTCCGAATGATCCGTTCATGTTTGGATTTTCCATGCATAGAATCGACAATGAAGTCGATTCGATGTGTATGGAACCGGAAAAGTGAGCGGATCCGTTTTCCCCTGCTCCATTAGCAGTGTGAGAAGTGGCTATGTCAGATCATCATCTAGGGGTATGTGAAAGAAATCACAGTATAGGAATTTCCCATTTGTGGAGTAACGAATTGCCATCTGTGTGGCGGGTCTCCGGAGTCGAGAGAGCTTTAGGTGAAGTTACGGGTCGCATCTCGCCACCTCCTACGTATTGCCCTCGTTTCGCTCATGAAAGCAATCATCTAATATCCTCGTCAGCTCATCTGTCCGAATTCAGTTTTATGCAATCCTGCACTGCTTTCACGAAATACTTAGTTTTGCAGCACGAAGAACAAATGCAGCAGCAGTAAGAGCCAAGCAGCCACACAGCCACGGAGCGTTAAAAGTTATTCGTCTGGCTCCCCATCACTCCATGTCTGGTTCCCTGCTCCTCCTTGTCTGGCTCATCTCTCACCGTGTCTAGCTCTCTGACCCTGTTCGTCGTTTCTTCGCTGCATACGAGGGCCATTCGAGAAGTTGCTGACATGATATTAGAAATTAGGCTATAGGCGCTTAAATTCGTCTGATGATCACTGCAATACAGTCGAACTCGGTTATAACGTCATTGAAGGGGCCAGGGAAAAATCGTCGTTATAACCGAGGTTCGTTATAACGAAGTTGCCTTTATTGACATTCCGTTTCCTTGTTTTCAAAATACATGCTATATACAACTTTAGTGCACATCGGTCGTCCTGCACTGGTTTCACTTGAAGCTTTGGCCCACTAATTGGCCCACACTAACTTTAGCAAGGATTTGTTGACGTCATCTCGAGCTGATCTACGAAGTTTCTTGTTTTGTAGCATGTTCTTCCAAGTACGGATGAAGCTGTTCATCTATTTTTGTTCATCTATATTTTCTTCCTGGTTCATCTAATGAACTAGGAAGTCTATGTTTATGAGAGACGTCAGCTTTACTTCGCCCACTTTCTATTAAACAAATTATGCCTTTTTCCCTGTTAATTGCGAAAGCTTGCCACTTTTGCTTTTCACTGGCCATGTTGTCGACGAGAAATGCAAATGGCGACTGAAGAGAATACAATCTTTTTAGTCACTGGGAATTGTCCCTCCCTTACCCTCCTCCAGTCACACCTACATGACCCTCAAGGAATGTTGATTTCGCTCACTCTTCAGATGATGGAAATTCCAGCTAAGAATGACGAATTGGGGACGTCAACGTTGTCTATTTCGTCGGTGAGACCTTGAATGGACTTCGTTATAACCGAGGTAAAATTTCCCGTACCTTATGGGCTCTACGCTGGGACCTGGCGCTCTTCGTCGTTATAGCCGAGGTTTCGTTATAACCGAGGTCATTATAATCGAGTTCTACTGTAGTTATTATGGAGTTATTTTAATTTCTGATGCTCATTAACTTTTGATATTTGACTCGTACATTAAAATCCGTACATTTTTCAACTGCGTGACCTTAACTTGAGTGTTCAAAGTCGCAAAAAGTATGAAAATTGAGCATAGATTTTACATGTTTGTAAAGTGGAAGTTGGGTAGGACAGAGGAGATCCATGATAATCTTGCGTTAGTTGTAGGGGCTGACCCTCCTTCATATGGGAGTGTGGCATTCAGGCTGCACCATTTTTTAAACGGTCTCAACCCATTCGATCCTGCGGCCCATCTTAGCAACTGCAAAGTGATCCGCGGCCCACTACTGACTTAAAAGCCATATAATTATTGTTCGTCTAACTGTTAATTCCTATTTTTAGATTTACGGATACTTGTAACGACCCACCCACAGAACCTCCGCGGCCCACCAGGTTGAGAACCACTGTGCTAGCTGATCTGAACTGTATGACCAAAAATGTCCACAACTGAAAAGTCCGAAGGTCTCGCGATGTTGAAGATGATAAATACCACAGAGTGATTGTCCTAAATTGCTGAGTCAGTTGAGATGTCGGGGGGGCACCAAAATTTTCATCAGCATTTACTGATGAAAAAGAAGTGTTGGGTACTGTTTTCTCTCACACTGGAAATAGACATCAGGAAGATACAGCGCTATAAATTCTTAATCGACTTAAATCCAATTGCTTCCATTACCTTCTTGTCGTTGCCGCAAGCGATGAGACTTAACTTCGGTATTATGAGGAAGGACCTTGGCAAAAAACATCTGATTTGAGTTTTAAAAATCCCCCAAAATGACCGGGGGTCAGTTAAGGAACAATATGCATCCCATTTTCTCCACATTGATGACATTTTTTTGCCAGGTCTCAGTGTATGAAGGTCAGACTGGTAGTATGCGGAGGTCCCCAGGTCCAAAGAAACCGGCAATGAAACGACTAAATCTGCAGGTATTGAAGCTTCACCATGACGATCTGTTGCGCACAGGTCCCATAAAAGGTTGCAATACATGAAGGAAATGGCATTTTGAAGGTTTCCCATATTCTCATTTATTACTGTTGCTCCTTGCGATTTGTATTTATCGCAAAGTTGAAGGCAGTATTGGCAGGGATTGAGTTTGAGATGCTACATAGATGAAAGTGACACCTGGAATCAGTTATGTAAAGCATATAGCTCGCAAAGTGCTGTGAAGCTCTTCATGAATGGCTGCAGTAGTTGGGAAGGGCTGTAATTGACATGGAATAATATTATTAGCAGATGCGAACGTCCCATTAAGATTAATGAATAACTTTTTGGGTTACATGGCCACATTAAGGACTTAAAGAATGGTCCTCGTATCTCCCGCACTTTCCTATTGGAAGAGGTCAAAGTTAACCTCCGTGGTACCTCTTCGAGTAGCACCTTTGTCGTACTCCCCGGTTGATCGTCGTTCAAAGCTTCACATCCTTCGTGCTCGTGCCCTTTGTATGGAAGCTGTTTTTATAAAGGGCTAACGTGGAAAGCAAATGGTTTGGCTTCAAAATGACATCCAGGCTAAAGGTTTAGGGTTTGGGTCGGAACGTGGAGAGGCATTTCGGCCTGTATTGACATCCCTAGTCTCGGTCGAGAACTCATCCTCCTCCCACCCACCAACTCTAAGATAGTCCTATCCCCTTAAATGTACATTTTTGATGGGAAGGGGCAGGGGGGCACCAGTCACCTCCTTAGTACCTATTTTGCTCCCTTTTTTTGCTTTTATCTCCTAACATTTTCTTGAAGCTATCCACGGAGGGGGCAGAGACGACATCCCCTATATCGATCCATGCATTCACTACCCGAAAAGTCTGTAACTGGAGCTTCGCTTTTGGCTTACGCTGTTTGTGCCGGTTGCCCCTAGATATGCCGCTACGATCGAGGGGTAAAAATCAACCTCAGTCCATGATATCGATGCCCTTAATGATGTTTTACCCCTGGATGAGATCCACCCTCGTTGATTCTCTTCCCAGGGTACTTGCTTCGTGAATTGAGTAGCCCGCCTCCGAACCCTCTCCATGGCAATTGAGTTCCTTTCATTTGCAGGCACCGAAATTAAACACTTTAGGCTGTGTGTTAGGATACGGATCCGAATGGCCAGGAAGCGATTGTCTCGGCTGGAGCTTCCTTGCAACAACAAAACACATAGATTATAACTACCGTTCGACTCCTCGTTTCGAAAAAATGAAGGAAAACGAAAAGGCTGAAGCTAATTCAGACAAGTAAAAAGCGGACCTCTTGGTGCCTCCTTTACTCCAGGCTCTACCGGGAATATGGTCCGTGTTTCATGTCACTTACCTTTGCCTTGAAGCTGCTGTTCATATAATAAAAATGATTCCAGTCGAAACAAATATATCTACGAGTAAAAAGGGTGGACATGGGACTGGACACAGCTAGGAGGACGCATGCATAATTATATGACCGTGATCATCGAGATTGCCTTCATCCTCCCCATTCTATCCCTCATCTTTTTTCTGGCATTTTGCCAAAAGGCACCAAGGACAAAGGCCATTGTTCGATTTTCCGCGTATTTCCGTGACGTCATTGGTTCGTTCATGGCAATTATCATCCTCATCCTCATGCTTCCTCCATTCCAACGCACTTTAAATCTATGATAGACATACTTTCTGCTCTTGATTAAAATTCGGTTTGCGTTGCCGTTACGAATTGAATTCTAAGCGGAATATGATACCGAATTTTTTTATTATTTTACCCTTGCACGTCGTTCGAGATACCGGGACGGTATCTCGAAAGTCGCCCGACGCAGTACGAGTACCAATGACAAACATAAGGAGAATTCAAAATTTACCGTATGACGAAAGAACGCGAAAAATGGTAAAAATGTACAACAAATTAAGCACTCAATGTAGTCGTGGTTTCCAACTTTCATTGCTTCTTTTGCTTCTAGAGCCATATTCTGTATTGAATTGCTTTAATGCGCATGCTGGGGAAGGAACAGCAGTGAATTATAAATTTTTCCCACCACAGGATGTAATCACATCTTGAAGCTAGGATGTGATCATTTAGTGATTCCTGCAGATGAGATCTGATATCTTTGACTTTCATCTTCTCCCATCTCTTTCTTTTCCTCCGATTATAAACGGTCTCATTGTAGTATCTGCAAATGACGGATTTCTTTGCCACAGAGAACTCGGAGCTACCTGTATGCCAGCAGCCGCCGATCAAGGAAGGACACAGGGAATGTTTGGGGTCTTTTCCAATGTGGACCTACAACCAAGGCGAAAAAAGATGTGAGGAATACGTCTACGGAGGGTGTGGTCGTTCGGAGAATCTTTTCAAAACCAAAGAAGAATGCCGAAACACGTGTCCACCTGGTCAGTCCATGTCTTTCGATCGATTCTTGGTTTCTGGTTTTGATCGTCTCATTATATATATCGATCGTGCAGAGGAAGAGAAGGACGTGTGCGACTTACCGCCGATCAAAAGCCCCAGTGGCAACCGTCCCCAACCATCCTGCACTGGGTTCTTCCCCAAGTGGACCTTCAACGCTTCTTCCGAAAGCTGTGAAAGATACATTTATGGCGGATGTGGAAGAACAAAAAATTTATTCGACACTGTCGAGGAGTGCCAGGCTACATGCCAGTCACGCGCACGTGAGTCTATCATCAAATTCTAATTGTATTAATATTTAACTTTGTCCAAATTAACGTTTAAATATTTAATGGATGTCATTGTTAGACATGCTTATTAGGGTGAGTTATGATTAAACATGCATGGATTCTGAATCATATAGAATCGCAGCCTGAGGTGGAGAAGACGCCGACAGAGATATGCCGATTGCCGCCGGTAAAATCGGCTGGAGGAGCGATCTGCACAGCCTACATTCCGATGTGGACGTTCAATGTCTCTTCCGAAAGCTGTGAAAGATACATTTATGGCGGATGCGGAAGAACAAAAAATTTATTCGATACCGTCGAGGAGTGCCAGGCTGCATGCCAGTCACGCGCACGTGAGTCTATCATCAAATTCTAATTGTATTTAACTTTGTCCAAATTAACGTTTAAATATTTAATGGATGTCATTGTTAGACATGCTTATTAGGGTGAGTTATGATTAAACATGCATGGATTCTGAATCATATAGAATCGCAGCCTGAGGTGGGGAAGACGCCGACAGAGATATGCCGATTGCCGCCGGTAAAATCGGCTGGAGGAGCAATCTGCACAGCCTACATTCCGATGTGGACGTTCAATGCCTCTACTGAACAATGCGAAAAATACATCTATGGCGGTTGCGGCCGGACGGAAAATTTGTTCGAGACCCAGGATATCTGCCAGGCAACTTGTAGCCAAATTTCACGTGAGTGGCCACAGACCACAGAACGCGCCAAACGAAGAGGCAAAATTTAGCCGCTTTGCTTGGCACGTTCTCTGTCCCTTCCTACAAGCGGGGTTCTTGGCGTCATGAAGAGTGGTCTGCCGTATGATAGGTCCAGGCACTGGTCAGACTTCATCCCCGACGAATCAGAAAGACAGAAACATTTGCGAACAACCTCCGTTGAAAACAGAGGGGGGTGGAGATATTCCTGCAATTTCCTGCACTGCCTACATCCCAAAGTGGACGTTCGATAGCAGCCAGGGAAACTGCGTCCAGTACATCTATGGAGGGTGTAGGGGTTCCGAGAACCTCTTTGACACCCAGAAACAATGCCAGGCCGCCTGCATGCCAGGTAGTTGAAAGAAAAACTTCCTTTTCCGCTTTTCATTCATTTGCCTTCATGGTTTCCTGCAATCATGTTGCCTGCATGTTGTTTCAGTGGATTACCTTCAACTGGACTAAATGTCTTTCGCACCCGTTCTCGGGACATCATGACTTAATGTTGTAGGTTTTTTAGAAGAGCAATCCTAATTAAAACAATGAGAAACCACTTTTCTGTGGGACACTATCGAGTTCATGTTGATATCACTTCGACAATCATCCGAGTGTGGAGATTCAACACAAGTTGTGCCTCGGGTGTGGAGAAAAAAAACGCGTCGCTGTTGGGATGTTCATGTTAAAAACGGTCAAAACTCCTTCAGTGTATGTCCCAACTGGTATGCGTTTATATGTTTTCTGTTGTATACATTTTTTTACATTGAAATTCCCGTGAGCTGGTTTAGCTCATTAGAAGGAATCACTTCAAAATTCGCTCGTAAAATACCTGGAAATCCTCCGCTAGTCCCATGGGAATGAAATGGATGCATGATGGGACGACCTTGTGCCTGAACGACGGCATTAGACTGCGGCTTTCATTTAAGAATCGCTCTTTTAACCCTTAAATGCATGATGTAGCAGATATGCTACATTCCGAATGAAATTGTTTAGAATGCATAGGTAGCGAGCTCTAGCGGTGAGTCAGTTCATAGCAGTAGTACGACAGTCCGATCCTTGTACCTACAGTAGTACCCCAGCGGTCGTTCGGTACCCTAACTCCTGGTGACGAGCAAATTAAGAGCACATGGCTTCGTCGTGTGACAGACTGACGTTCTTGGTGCAATTATTTTCAACTTTACGCTAATCCAGAGTCCAGGTTCATCCGTATTTTTGCATTTTCTTTTGCGTTGATGTATGTACGAATGTTGGTTGACCGACTGAGTTCTTTAGCCTCCATGCAGCGGGGTTTAGAAAGCTGAAAATGTTGTTTGTAGCAAATGTGCTACAGTAATATTTTCAGGCCTACTACTTACAAATTTGAGAAATTAATATTTTTTTCTACAGTACTATTCCCGTGTTCTAGGACCTAAGTAAAACCTACCAGAATTTTTTCGCTAAAAAAGAAAAAAATCATGCATTTAAGGGTTAATGAAGCCAGTGCACACTTCTGTCCAGAAAACGAGCATTAATACTGCTCCGTCTACCTTAGACAACTGCATCATCACAAATGAAGTGATAGATTGAAACGAAAATGGTCAAATTTACAAGCTGCTCTTTTCAGTCGAGAAGTTAACAACAGGCAAGGATTTATAACACATTTTTACTTGCAACTTTCAAAATGCTTCTCTGGCTAAACCAGAGGGAGAGATTTTCATGAATGTTTCTGTGGAAGACAAGACGTAGATGAATATATCCTGAAGCATACATTACTGTAATAATGACCGATTTCTTGCCATGCAAATTCAAACAGCGGCGGATATTTTTTTCCGCACTCGGTACAAGTGTATTGAAATAGGATTGCGCACCTAAGAGTATTGGGATAGTGAGTAACGATGCATCAAATCATATCACAGGTTTTAACAAAATCGCTAACCTATCTATCATGGTGCGTCCAATTCGACAGGCACTCTGGTGCTGTAGTACTGTATTACAACTAAAGAGAGCTATAATAATAGGAGTCAATAAGAGACAACAGCATTCAGAAGGTGTTTTTTTTTTGTCTGGTGCTAAAAATGGAGCAGCATATCTCGAAAACCGTCTGAGCTGGAATGCCGATATGTGGAATTTTTCTGTAACTCTGGGATGTCGCATATGAATTTTTCCAAGCGAATCCCTGTCGGAGGCGCAACCACCGCTTCCTCCCTTGAGATGGAATGCCGTTTCTACATTCTCTTTCTCTCATTAACTCTAGCTGTGTGATAGCTTTCTTGAGCCTGTCTATCGAGGATCAGCCCACGAATCGTCACTTGCAGGAAATAGATTTTTCTCACCAGCGGTAATTTGAGCATCGTCATTTCTGTCCGCGATGAACAACGTCTACTGGCTGCTCAGTCATCGACGCACTTTCTACATTTTTTATGGTGAAGCGAGCTTTGTTGTGAGACTGAGCTGACCGAGGGCAATCGGAACATAGTCCAGAAGGCTCAAGCTGAGGTTGCCTTTGGAATGAGAATATTTTCGAATTCTTTTTGCGATTCATAGCATTTGAGACTGGCGACATAAATACGATAGATTTAAATAGCTGTTGATGATATAAGCCTGTAGCGCATCTCACGAAGAAACCGATCGAACGGTACCAAAACTTTTACCTGATGTTTTTTTTATTACTTTCCTTTTAACTTTCTTCTTCCTACCCTGGTCTGCAATGGTTAAATGAGTCTTTTTTGAGAACTTCTGGGGTTGCCGTGGGATTACGACTGATTTATGTCGGGGCTGCCTACCCATGATTTGACGTGATTATGTTTTACATATCGGCCTATGTATTGCACGAAATATAGCAATTAGCTTTATTGATTGCCTTAAAGGAGTAGGCCTCATTTCTTTTTCTTACTTTACGCAAAAAAAAACTCTAAGAATTCAACATCGTAATCGCAGGCATCATAATCTTGGGAAAAGGTCCTCTATTAGCATTCTCATGACTGTAGTCGACGATCTGCTGCTGCATTTATTTTTTAATATTTATTTTTGCACACCTTAGAAGAACAGGGAATGAATTTCTCAAAGGTTTTCCTGAATGATGCCGAAGTGACCTACAGTGAAATATTTTCAGTCCCCGATGGCCCGAAACGGTGAGAGACGCAAGTGTTTACTCTCTGATCTGCAGCTCCCTGTCTCACAGTGGTGTTAAAGAAAAATTTCGGAAAGCTAGCCGCTGCCATTCAGGTTTTTTAGTATTATATAAATTTTATTTTAATTATCACTTCTTATTTTATTCCTATTATAGTGGAATTGTAATGCTTTGTTGCGCAACTTTAGTTCGATTGTTCGAACCGTATATCCTCGCAATTTTCTGGCATTCTATATGCCCATGTTTTGCAAATGTTCTCGTGCTTGGTATATTATCGCGTGAGCTAAGAGTGACTTTTTTCCCGTGTGCATGCGAAGATGGTGGGGCGGTGGAGCGGGAGAAGGGGTGCAAGGAGAAGGTTGATCATGGAAGATGCTACGGGTCCTTCCTTAAATGGGGATTCAACACTGTCCGTCCCATTTTTCCTGATTTTCTTTCTTCACCTTTGCATTTCTTGAAGGGAGCTTTTTTTTCGTTTCACAGGAAAGGAATCGTTGCGAGTGGTTCCTCTACGGAGGATGTGAGGGGAATGAGAACCGATTCAGCACACCCGAAGAATGCTTGAGGGTCTGTGGCGGCGACCAACCTCTCATTGGTGAGTTTCCTCCAACTTTTTTCCCCCCGCGACTCTCATTTAGCAAATTGTCACAACTGTCAATGGTTCCCATTGCAAAAGATACGCTCTGCACGGCCAAAACAAAAGCATGTTTAAATACTTCTCATATTTGTCCTTAAAGTTAACGGTCATTTTGTGCTATGCTTTCGACGCGAATGATCCTTCAGGATTGAATTCCTTACCCTGCATGAACCACGGGAGAAACAGAGACAGGTGGCAAAAAATGTTTAGTTTCGTTATGATTTCAGACTCTGGGAGGGGATTCATGTGAAACTGCTAGTAAATTTAGAAGCTCCTTATCAAATTTGACTAGACAATCATTAATGTTAAAACTAAGTACTGAATGTTGCGAATTTTATTAAATTAATCTGTGAGCAAAAGAAATAAGAAGCTCTTCTTAGTAGGCATCGTAAAGAACGATCGAATGTGATGAGATTCGAAATTACCAGAAGATGGCAGCCACCTACAAGTGAAGACGAAAAAGTCACTGTTTACACCATCGGTTCCGCGGGAACGGGGATGTCTGCATGATATTCTGCTGCACACCTTTCCCGTTTTGCGGAAAAAATGTGGAGGTATCACAGCTCCTTTGATGATACCATCCATGAAGGGTATCGTAGAATGTAGTTTTATAGAGTGATCTCCAGCTGGACCCCGCACCCCCTTGGTGTCCTAAGTTTTATTTCGCCCCCCCCCCCACTTATTTTTTTGTTAGAATTTTTTGTAATGACCTGAGCAACTGCTGGGATGAAGGAAACATCCCACTCCTGTTTCTTCCAACTTCCGATATCTTATGTTTATAATATTAAAAAAAATAACTGCAATGCTCGAGCCAGTTCATCAGACGACGTGGTTCACAAATATTGCAACCAACCTGGTCTCTGAGTAGTTTCATCTCTTCCTAGCTAAATCTAAATAAAGCAGAGGAAGCCATGTGATTGTTGAGCGCTTGAAGTCTGGGAAAAGTGCGGAAGAATTCTAGCAGTAAGCATCAATTGAATGCCATAAGTTATTCCGATTTCAGATTAAAATTCTATTCTTACCCGCTTGTAGTGAGCTTGAGAACTCTTCGGTTTTACGCTTCATATCCGCCACTATCCTCTCGCATCCATCTCTGTTATTTTCAACTTTTAATACGGGCGTTGCATGTCCATTTCCAGATAGAAGCTGTTCCCGAGATCAGTGTCAGTGGAACTTGTGGGAACATTACGAGGCACTGGGTTGCAAGCCGAAGTTTACTCAAGGCTCCTGCTGTCCCACTCACTTCGATTGCCGTACGTCTCTTAGTTTCTGAAAATTTAACAGGCACAAAAAAATAACGAACCCAAATTTTTTCGATAAAGCGGAGAACTCGTTGGGCGGGTTGAAGAACCGAGACAAGTGTTTTTATGGAGGTCAACTGTACGCGGTGGGTGAGGTTATCTCCGAGACGACTCGTGATGAGCCTTGTTGGGTGAACTGTCGATGCCGGGAGTCGTTCCGGAACCGGGGTCTGGCTGTCATCGATTGCGTAATACCCGAGTGCCCGGAGCTTCTTGGTGGCCCCTCCGAGTCCAGAGATCCCAACTGCGTCCCCCTCTATCGCCCGAACTCCTGTTGCGCCTACTCCTACGATTGCCGTACGTCCCTCCAGCTAACTTTCTGTCCAGTTGATATGTTTCCCGTTTAATCCTGACCGTCGGTGAAGTCAAGAGTTTCTCAAACTTCGACTGTCTGTTAGACTATAAGACTACATTTTCCCTCCCTTCAGATTTATGATGGGCTTTTAAAAATATATTAAGATTAAGGAATTCTGTCTTAGGTCAACAAAAGTTTCTTTTTTTTTTAAAGATTTCTGGACACCTGCTGTCTCCCTATTGGCTTTCTTAGGCGAAGGTCACCACAGATAATGGGAGATTTTAATCACCTCTGCCCGTCATATAAGCGAAGAAATCCTGAAAAACTCTTGCCAGAACACATTGTGTCAGGGACTTTGATTTCTTGTCCCAGCATCTATGAATTCATTCATCAAATCCAGATATAAAATTATTCATTATAAGGCTGGATGAGCCGAAGTAAATGTATGCTGTCAAGAATAATTTAATTTTCTATCTGGGTCACTACGGTTATGCAATGAGGGACATACGAGAAGTTCCTGGTCCCAGGCATTTCCAGCTGTATTATACTGTTCTTACTTTGCATAGGAGGGGCCAGACATAATGAAAGTTGTCTAACGAAGTTTGATGATACATATTAGTGACTCATAATTTGTTGTGGATTTTTTTTAAACAGAGTTTCCGAAGGGACTTTTGAAATATATATTTTAAAAATTTGAGACAAGGAACTTTTTTTTCACCCCAAAGGAGGCAATGTTATAGCAGATATTTGAGTGACTGAGTATACAACATCCCGCTGTCTCTTCAGTCAATGAGAAATTTCAGCTCAATCAATTCTTTAAGCTTGAAAATTGATCACTCCCCTTTCCCCAAAATTTGGCAGCTCTAAAAGAGAAATCATCGAGAAAAAAGTCAGATGCCACAAAATTTTGTCAATCTTTGCCCATCAACTTTCAATATGTCTGTCATTACCAATGCAAAGCAACGTTAGCGCATTGCGAATGGAAATGCTTTGGCTTAGGAACTTTTGGAACGCTCCTCGTATTCCACGTTTATGCTTCTACGTTCATTTATGTCCATATTCCCCTACATTTATCCTTCGGGGTTTATTTACCACAAGGTCCGAATGCATCTTCTGAATATATATTTAAAATTCACTTTCATCCCGTCGTGCTTCATGTTCATGCTTTCATTTGCTGCATCATCGTGATGTGAAGTGCCTGCTTATTTAGAGAATAGGACGGAGTCGAACTACGCATGTACCTACGAGGGGAAGGGTTACGTGAAAGAGGAGAGGTTTTACTTGGAGGCGGACGGTGGAGTGCGATGCGAGTGCGGGGACGCATTCACGGGTCCCGGGAGCCCTGCATGTCGGAAGCCTCCTTGCGGCTTCCTCGTCCACTATCAGGAAAAACTGAAGCTTGGTTGTGCTCCTGTCTACCTCGAAGGGGGACGACGATGCCCCATCGACTGGGTCTGCCGTAAGTTTATACTCTCTCATTCTTACCTAAGACCTCCACCGAACCTTCCACTCGTTTGTGCTCGTCTTACATTGCTTAAGGTCTTGTTCTTATTTCATCTCATGCGCTTTTTTTCCTTTGATGCTATGAAATTAAAAAACTCGTAACTTTCGGTTATAGCCGGTGCTCGGGAACAGAGAGAGAGTACGGGCTCGACGGCGACGGTGGAAGTGCCGTCGCCATCGGGTGAGATGAGTGATTCTTACGGTTATGGTTATCACTCTCGACCATCCATATCCCGCCCCTCCGCATCCAATCCTTCCGCATCATATCAGTTCGCTGCTCTAGGTGAGGCACCAACAACTCATACCAGGTAAAAAAAAGTGGTAAATGGATTTGAAGGTAAACACCTTGACTGGCATGAGACCATTTCATAATATGTAGCATTCCAAATTGGTTTTGGCCACAATGAACTGCCTTTGTAGTTCTGAAAATGGTCGACATAAGTCACCTTCATGGCTACTATTGCAATTCGTAGTTGAAAACCAACACGGACAGGGGCGTATTTTGAGGGTCACTCTGAAAGTTTTTAGAAAGAGATACTTACAATTATTATAAAGCAATAAAACGCAACAGTCCCTCAAAGTATTGTCCATCAGCTGCAATGCAGTGCTCCATTCGATTAAATCATCTTTCAAAACGTGTCTGAAGCTATGACTACCAAATTTTCTTGAAGGTCTTCAACTGCGAGAGTCATCTTCGAAGTTGGCTCTCTCTCATCGAAATTCATCAAACCAGTTGTAAAAAGTGGCAGATGATGGTGCAGATGTTCCAAATGTTGCTGTAAACGAGCATGAGAATCAGTCGCCGCGAGCCAAACTTTAAAGTCGTTTAAAATCATGGCAAGGAAATGCTCTCTGCGCAGCTCCATGGCAAACTGCGCAGAGAGCTAAAAACTACATTTTATGCCCGCCGACGGCAACAGTGTCTAGACAAGTCCCGATAGAGTAAACGTGGAAGGTAACAAACTTCCGCTGACCACAAAAGGAAATCGCTGCGACACGTCTAAAATCTTTCAGAGTGACCCTCGTGTGCAATGCTGCGACTCGAATATCATACGAGTCGTCAGTTGACCCAATATATCAGTGGATTCTCAACTTTTTTCTCATCATGGCCCACTCTGCCCTATTGTTTAATTTCTGGAACAATTGCGAAATTGTCGCAGAAATATTGTCAAAACCTATCATAAAAGGATTCGACCAAAGAAAAAAATTCTCGCTCGAAGTTCGATTGATACTGATGAATGTCCTCAGAAGAAGTCGATGAGAGATACAGATACATCGAGATGAAAGGCAAGATAGCGAACAGAACGAAGCACGAGCAACAGATTATTTTATTAAGTCGGCACTCCCTCTGCAGGGGGGAGAACCGACTCCTTCTCTAACAAGGCTACATGGGCGAAGAAGTCGGGGCAGCCGACGTCGATCTACATGGTTTCCGTTTAAGTGTTTATTGGCTCCTGAAAATGTAAGTAAATATTTGCAGTTAGTGATCATCACTAAATCTACGTCTGATCGGAATCCTGCCACCCCAGCACATGGACTGGTGGAATATTACTGAATATAACTTTATACAAGGGCAGTTTATTTAATACTAACAATGTAGTTGTAATGCTGCCTATAGCAACGTTAGTAGTTTCCATATATGGTGCACTGTAGGGTGGGGATAGCGTGTACGTTGTAGTAGTTCACTGCGCCGGACTAGTCGCGATTGGCGCGTGCCACTGTCAGATCTGTCTTAGGACCGCCATTGTGACGGAAGTGCAAGCGAGAGGCTTCGATGCAGATCTTTGACGGAACAGGCAGAACCCAGGATATTAGGGGGCTTGAGGGATTTGCCACACCTGTGGATGTGGACCCAACGCCACTACAAATACAACTCCATGAAGTCTAACTCTGCCATGCAAAATATGAGGCGATTCTGCCCAGCTATACCATAGCTTTTGCATTGCTGTTTACCCATGTTTTCATAATAACCTCATATAACCGAGCCTATACTAGTCTAACTTTGCCCACAGTCTTAAGGAACCCTCAAAGAGCATAAATTTTATTTATCTATAGATGAATACTGTATCCAAATGTTCTGAAAGTACACTGACTGCAAGTTCCTTCAAGTGGTTAAACCACTTTTGAACAATTTTCTGACGAAACTCAAATTTCTCAGAAACGATTTTGACGATCAGGGCACTTTTCAGGGACAGACAATGGATTGTTTTTATTGTTATACATAAGCAAAGTCATATTCGTGGCTGTTTTAAAGAGAATGTGCACAAAGACAGGCGAGATACAAATAAAGAAATAAACGAAGGATGGAATCGAGCAAATTCTTGACGAAGGCTGAAAGGCTTTATCGGTGTGCAGAGAGATGCACGATGCAGCCGGACCAAGGTCGATGCGAGACGTACCAGGAGATGTACTTCTACAATGCAACGGCAGGGGAGTGTCAGAAGTTCGCTTATGGAGGATGCGACGGGAACCCGAACCGTTTCAGCACAGGGGAGGAGTGCGAGGCGGAATGCTCCCGTTCCAGGGTTCCCCACACTTGCACCCTTCCACAAGAAATCGGCCCTTGCAAGGCTCGCAAACCAGCCTGGTTTGTCTCTGTCCTTTCATCTACTCTTCCCCTCTCTGTCACATCATCGTGGAGTCTCGATCTCTTGGATAAGCATAAAATGATATATTCCGACCTTCAGCTTCTTCGTTCTTGCTTCTGATTGATTTCATAATATAATTGCCGGAACTTTTCACTGTGGAGTAGACTATAGGTGGACTTCCTTGGCGTTTCCCTCATTATGTTACGAAACTCCTGTAGAATGACAGTTTCCAAGCAATATCTTGCGGGATCGCGGAAAAAGCCAAACACTACACTTATAATCTAGTCTACATCGAGAAAGTTGTATAAGTAATTGTTCGCTAATTTGATTAATTTTGACTGATCTGTACCAAGTTGAAGTAAGAGTGTTGTTAAAATTAGATTTGTGATTAAGCGAATTAAATTTGAAAATGTAAAACATATTTTTAGCGCGAATAAATTTATCCTGAATGATTGATTCTGCTGTTACGCCTCAGTTACCTGTTACCTGTATATGACAAGTATTTAAATATCCTTTTCCATGAAAAAGACTCCTCGCTTCTTGTGCCTGTTTGTTCATCCCTTGTTTTTCCTTGTCGTCCTATTCCGCGGTGAAGGAAAATGATGTTACGTAGGAAAACTAGGTTAAGATAGGTTTCCAATGGTATACAAGTTGCCATGATCGTAGCACGAGATGGGAAGCAATGCAAGGAAACAGAAAAAAAATATTGTTAAGGCATGGATGTCGAAAGTGCGGCCCACAGAATGGTTCTGTGTGGTCTACGATAAATGAGAATAAAAATAACTACTATGAACCTTCCCTCGCTTCTTCGCCCAGAGCCCCCCTCACCATCAACCTCGATCACACAATCGATACACCACAAGTTTTTGATTTTGTAGCCTTCAGTTTGTGCGACTCCTATGACCCTAAAGTTTGGAAACCTCTTGACTAAGGCACGGTAGGTTTGACCTTTGATTGGATGATCGCGTTAACGATTGCGTGATATCTGATGAGAGACTTCATGAAACGAAAGGGATGGGCCTTACCGACCCGGGACCTCTTATCTTGCAGGTCTTACGACGAGAAGACGGGGAAATGCAACTTGTTCTTCTACGGAGGATGCCAGGGGAATCAGAACAATTTCAGATCGATGGACGAGTGCAATCGCGTTTGTGAATCCTATCGGTCGAATAAGCCTGTCACCTCCGGCACCTCATCTGGCGATACTGCTCAAGAGATCCTCGGTAAGACCTCTTTCATGAATATATAGATTCAGAGGGCATTTACCCCACTTAACCTAACACGGTTAAGAAATTGGAAGAGGCAGATAAGAACAGGAGTAGAAGGAAACTCTATCTACCTTCGGTATTAAATTTTAGGAGAATGAGTTACATGTGTTATGGTAATGTGAGGGATATGAAGACCTGAGAAGGAAATATCCCATAAATTGGGGACACTGTGGCCAATTTTATTAGGAAAATAATCTGGCCTTCATTATAAAAGAGGAATGAAAACTGTCGGTCTGTCTCTTGCGGGAAATTTGAATGAGAAGCGAAGTTGTACCACTTGAAGCAACCGTGGAGAGCGATTTCCACTTTAATCTCTTCTTTTAAAAAAGTATTTGATGAGCTGTACTAATTAATGAAACACAGAACTAAATATAAATATCAATATATAGGTCTACAGGGGGTGGATTACACGCTGATTCAAGAAAACTTCCTGGGAAGTTTTCTTGAATCAGTTTTGAAGTTTTCTTTCAATGATAAGAAATTACTTATCTACTTATGTTTTCTTCGTCTCTTGCCATTTTTGCTGTCCGGCAGAAATTGAAAAGAGCGGAAATTGATAGCGATGAAGTGTAGTGCAGCCACACGCGCAAGAAAATTGCAAATAGGACTTGCTTATCTTGAAACTGGAGAAAAACTACTTTTTTTTTCAAGTTTAAGAGATATTCGTCAACTTAGGCGCTGGTTTTGGGACCTGAGAGGCATGTCCTAAATCCTCCATTGCCGTAGATATATATGCAAATGTATGATATATACCTCCTGGTATGCCGCCGTGCGAAGATGTATGAAACAATGTATCCTGGCTGGTGCAGCAAGGGAGACCTGTCGATTGCCAATGGTGGTCGGCAGGTGCAAGGGGAGGAAAATCCGTTACTACTATGATGCAACGACGGGGATGTGTCAGCAATTCTACTACAGCGGCTGTGACGGAAATGCCAACAACTTCGAGAACATCCAAGAATGCCGCACGGCTTGCATCCAAGACTCTTCCTCAGAAGTCTTTGTCTCACGTATGACACCATTCTCTCATTCATCTCCATTAAGGCGCAGGCGAGTTATATTAGTGGGGTGCCGAGGAACTGTCTGAAAGTCTCTGGAATTTTTGGTAATGCGAAGTTTCAGAAAGCGGTAACAGGAAATTCGAAAATTCCAAGGGATTTCCATGGTTCCTAATCGTAACAGAAAACAATGCACTTCCGAGATTTCATTTTCGCTTTTAAAAATTGACATGTGCTTTTGGACTTAGCATAGGGACTTTGACATGCTTTGGTTTCTATTTTTATTTTCAAATTTTAATTAATTTTTTTTTTCTACATACCAGATCTTATGCAGGCTCAGCTGCATTTAAATTCAGGAGCAGATTGTGGTTAATTCAGCCAAATTTTGTTTCAAGAGCACGTTTGGTACGACAGTTTAGGGGGAGAAAGGGTAGACTTTAGAAACAGTTGGTAGAAGTGAGCGAAAATAAATGGAATTAGGGAGTAGGAGATGCCAGCTGCCTCCGGAGGAGGGTCCATGCCGGGGGACATACCGCCGGTTCCATTTCGACCCAGAAGCGAAGACTTGTCGGGAATTCAAATATGGCGGTTGCCGTGGGAATGAGAACAACTATCATTCTGTTGAGGAATGCATGGGGCATTGCACTGAAGGTCTGTCCTCACCTCCCGACACTAGCTCCCTCCTTCTCCGAGATGCACCCTCCCAATCCTTGGTGGCGGATCACGAACAGCTCAATCCTGGTATCACTTTGCATGCCTTCTTTTTACATCATCCTTGCACGCTTATTAACATATAGCAAAACTATGGTTTGGAACATCAACCTTTAGTTTCAGCTCTTCAGTTCAATGCGACAATGGAGAGCAAAGATTTTAGAAGAGCTGTGTGCTCCGTTTCGCTTCTGTGCCACTTTCGCAGGGTTTTTTTCCCCCCCTATCGTGGAAGACACCAAGAATCTAATTTTTCCCTCATTTTCGTTCATTTAACGTAGGAAAATTTAGGGATTCTCCGGAATTCATAGTCTCTCGCTTAGGGTTAAGCTTTCAAAATATGCAACGCTCTTCCAGAGAATGCAAAATTACTACAATTTTCCTGAAGTTGCCGGTGTTTTTGGAAAGACATCCTCCAGTAGCTCATTCTATTTCTACTGCCGCAAGATGATTGGCATTCTTATACGTTGATAAATTGGGGGATGACAGAAATTAGGAGTTACATGAGTTAGATTGTAGACGCAAACGTATATATCAATACTTTGCTGGATTTAGCTGATATATACTCGCATATTGCAGTGTGCGAGCTTGCGAAGGAAGTGGGACCGTGCAAGGGTAGACTGCAACGATATTACTTTGACACGGAGACAAGGAAATGCATGGAATTTACTTACGGGGGATGCAAGGGAAACCCCAATAATTTCCCCACTCTCCAAGACTGCCAAAGCACGTGCGACCAGAGCAGGACTGACAAGACGCACGACGAATCAGGTATTCCATCGCTGATGAATACGAAAATCAAATGATTAAATGTTTGACGAAAAAAAGTCAAGAAGACTTTTGACAGAGGATTCGTTCGTGCCTAGTTTCACTTTTGGGGTGGGGGAAAAAAAGATTTTTGCAGGGAGGCAAAAGATTCGGGTCCTTGTTACGGGTTCATGAGGCGGTATTTCTACGATGTGGAGACCGGGAAATGCAAAGAGTTTGTCTACGGCGGGTGCAAGGGGAATAGAAACAATTTCCACAATCTCCACGACTGCCGTTCTCACTGTGAAAGGACCTCAGAGGACAAGGTCGAGGACGGATTCAAAGATCTTGGAATGCATTCCAGCGCAGGAATGTCGTCCTCTTCTCCCTCCTCTCGTGCACGAGGTGACGGATCCAAATTGCATGTCTTTTTCTGCATTTATGCGTCTTCAGCTCCCTCTTGACACCTTAGTGCATAATGTTAATATTTATACAAAATCCTTTCCATTTCGACTATACAAAAATCATTTTGTATAGTCCTGTAAAAGTATAACTGAAGATACAAAGCCTGATACATTGTTTTGAGATTCACAGTTCATAACGTAACACCCGACGGCTCTTTGTCATGATGAACGGATTGTAGTGCCTTTCTTTCCCAAATGGTGACGGTCTTATGTCTACTACTCACGCTTATCACTTTTTGCACTTTCAACTCGGTCGGTTTCATTGGCATGATAATTTCGCTCACGTCAAAATCTGAAAGCCAAGACTAAAACTAGGCAAGGACAAGACAGTTAAAACTGGCTCAGCACTTTCGACCCATAACGAAAACGCGGATTGGGCGAGACAAGTTCGTCATACCTTCCTTACCGAAGTCGATCCTCTTGTTTCTGCCATAGGACAGCCCGATGATTTTCAAATATCTCTTTTCAGTATATTCAAAACTTTCTCAACCGTAAGCGTACCTAAAAGGCACACATTTTTGCGGAGATGATCCAAAATAAACCTCCTTTGTTCAGATGATATTACTTCGTCAAAAATGCTCTGCAGTACTTTCAGCCTTAGCTCAGCAATTCTGACCAATAACAGAAATTCCATGAAGGTGAGGCGAGACCATTAGCGCCTAATTCTTCCAAATCGCTTTGATACTTCGGCTGCAAAATGAAGGTAGTGATTCATTGCAAAAAGAAGAAAAACGAAAACCAGATCCCCAATCACGTACTTTCAGAACTCTGAAAATACGTTACAGTTACGAAGGAACCTTGCTGGACTATAACCTTGGGAAAGGAAAGAAATTGCTCATTTTTACTTTATGAAAGTGAATTCAACAAAGAAATCAGCCATGAACTTGAGTCTTAAAGGTGGGATGTTGGGTATTATGCTATTTATTCTGCTACGACTCTTATTGTTAGTAATTTTTTACCTAGTAATTGAGCCCAACCAATGCGGGCGTACTACTCATACGACCAATTGTTACATAAAAGGGATCTCCCTCTCTGGCAAAAGCAAAAAGGCCCATCTCTCGAAGAGTATAGCACACCCGCAAAGGCAATGATATTTCTTTCAACGAATGTGAAGCCAAACGAGCAACAAGAAGCTATCATTAACGAAACAATCCAGCGTCCCCCTAGTGTGAGGGTGTCCTTGAGTATAAATGCACATTATTATGTCGAGACAGCGATGGGAGGAAAGGAGGAAGAACTACGATGTGAGCTGGGCTCGCAAGTCTTCCAGCTAGGAAAAGTGTTCAAGCCGGGGGAGAAGCCGTGCGTGACGTGCACGTGCTCCACGCCACCAGATCTGACGTGCGTGCAGCGACGCTGCCCCGACCAACCTCGGGGATGTCGACGAGAGGCCATTCGTGGCAGTTGTTGCCACGACATCATCTGCCCAACAGATCAAACGCACAACTCCCTCTGCAAGGTAAAGTCACTCTTCCATGGTGGCATCCTTGAAAGATACTGTAGTCCGAAGAGCATTAGAAAATGACATAAATGATCATATTAAGAGTGAATGAATAGATGAACTTGAGTCTGGATTGGAAAAACTATAGATTTGTGATTGAATATCACGACAAACCGATGTCAATAGTTGGTTCAGATCCTGAATGAATTATATGGTCTCGTAAATATTATATTTTCAAAATATAGAATGGGACAATTGAGGAGATTCATCGCAAAGAGTTATTGTATGTAGTACCTAATAAGGAAGCAAGAAGTTCTAAAATATAACATTGGTGTTGCGAGGATGAAATGTTCTAGTGTGAAAGTTACTAAGGGAGCAATGATATGGGATGATAGGAGTGCGGAAACGAGGAATACTGCAGGATAACGGAGAAGACGGGAGTGGAATGCGTGAAATGTCCCCAGCTGAACTGTCCCATTGCTTGCACCCTGGCCAAGGACAGCAACGGTTGCAGCATCTGCCAGTGTGATGGCTAATACTTCATTCTTCATCTACAATACCTCCTCGCATCCCAGGTCAGAAAACGAAATAGAATCACAAATTACATGGAAAATGCGAGTATAAAGGAAAAACCTAAGGATGTAATTTGAAAAGTCTGAATGCTTGCTTCAAGAACGTGTGTTCGTAATGGACAACTCGAAATTAAAAAAAGGTAGTAACCTATAAGCGAAAGGTTAATAGGAAAATATGTTTTAAACGAATTTAGAAATAAATGCTAAAGTTTGCATGAAAATTTACGCTTCATCAAGGATGGATCAATAAATCCTTGCATGTTAATTTCTTCTCTTTTCAGACATTCCACCGGTGAAGGAAGAAAGGAAGATTCCTTAACTGCATGCACATCTGAGCAGGAGACATTTTTATATGAGGCAATAAAAAATATGTAAAGTACTCATAAATGCAAGGTCACATTATATGGATTTTTTGTAATAGTTTCAAGCCAAAGAAAATTTATTTTACTGATGAAAACAAGGGTGTCAAACTCTCTTTGGCCGGGAATCGGATCAGACGATTTAGGGGTGGCGGGGCAAGACAAATCTTACACCAAATTTCTAAGCAAATCGTGGAGCTCTTTTATAAACCAATAGTTGCAGAGGACTTCTCGGGCCGGACGAATAGGGCTGACGGGCCGTCAGTTTAACACCCCTAGATTAAAAGAAAAGACTAGAAACGGCATAAGTAAGATAAATGCAAAGATCAGGCAAACTAAGGGTCAGAGTCAAATTAAAGTCATAGGTACAACTAGACCTCATGGTAGATGAGGTCACAGGTTATCTGAGAACGATGAGCTTGCCTTTCGAGGGCTAAGATGAAAACGATTCATTTAGCGTCAAGAAAATACACTCATCCATTCGAGCGAATACAGCAAAGTTATGATGAGGGTACGGGTGATACACCAGTGGAAAGCGGCAAGACGCTTTCCCAAGTCAGAGACGTAAGGAAGTCTTGAATGAAATCAAGGGATTATTCCTTTAACACCTGGGTTCCCAAACCCAGGGTCGCGACCCAAAGTTGGGTCGCGAGGTCCTTCTGATGGGTCGCGGAAGACCTTCAGTGCCAAAAAATAAAATAATTTTAAATTTTTTCCTGGGAAACAAAGCACAAACTTCCTTTCAATAAACCTTCTGGTTGCCACTATGGTACAGTATTCTGACTGAATGAGTCAACCGATGGTGAGAGCAAGTTGTCATGTTATTCAGCAACACTGATAGCTTCTAAGGCTATGCCTTATTCAACAGCTCACCAGCATGAGAAAAAAAGTAGTATCAGTATACTGTATATATATTTACAACTTGTCTGATCGTCAGCTCGATCAGCAAGACTTCTCTGGTATAGTTCATTTCACAGTGCGTGCAGAAACACGAGAGAAAACTATGGTAAGTCACAACACGTCGTCAGCTCGATCAGCAGAACTGTTCTACTACTGTTCATTCCTCGGTCACTCAGTGCATGCCGCAACAAGAGCTCTCACAAGAAGCTCTCACTAATATTCTTAACTTCATCAGTTTATCTGTTCACTCTTAATTTCTTCATTTTTTTCATACAACTGAAAATTTATAAACCCTGCTTGCTGATGTTTCAAACCACTAATAACTAGGACTGTCACGATAGATCGATGTATCCATACCACTATCGATAGTTTTTTCGACCATCGCGATGCATCGGCAAAATATTTTAAAGGGGAAATGTCCCATTGGATTGAGGCGAGTACAGTACAATACAGTCCGTCCAGGCAGGGAAAGGAAGAAGCGGCGTGACCCGCATGGGCTTGCGATTTATCACAATCAAATTCCGGAAATGCTGGGACTGACTATAAGGGAAGGGAAAAAAAAAGTCGGATCGGAGACAGGAAGTGAAAAAGGAGAAGACCGAGAATATTTTTTTCTCTTCTGTTTCTGTCATCGGCTCGATCTAACCAGGTGCATGTTGGGAAGTGGACTGTTCTTACATTCCCTTGATTTCGAAACCTACATTGATTAATCCCCTCTCTATATTCCTATCTATCACTTTAGCATGCAGGCTTAACTTTCTTAATTTTTAACTTGCCCTGGAGCATTTATCTCTACTTAAGGTGAACTCAAAGTGAATATTTTACATGGACGTTGCTTATACTAGGGTTGTACTGACGTTTCGGCAACCGCCGGTATGGCACCATCAGCAGGTTTCCTAGCTGGCGGTACCGATGTCCAAAGACATTGTAGAACGAAGAAAAAGAGAAAAAAAAAATTACGTGAACGGGGCTTGGCAGCTGATTCTCAACAGCAATAGGAAAAAATTAGGGCTGTCCTGATGCATCCATCGATGAATGGATGTCATCTTCGATAGTTGGAGGTAGGTTTCATTACACTTTGTGAAGGTCACACATTCCCCCTGCACTCCCGATCACAAACGTGAGATAATAGAAGCCAGATAGAAGTCGGCGCTCCGATCGCGGCGAGAAAAGATGGAATCCTCCGGCGCCCCCCACCCGATGCATCAATACACTATCGATAGTTAGGTCGATGCATCGATGTTTTGAAAACTGCTATCGTGACAGCCCTACTAATAACTTATTTTAATGACTTTCTCCTTGCACCAGGTTTTCAAAATGGCTCAGAAGCGTAGTGGTTCATTTCAATATGTATATAAGCCAGAATTTTTTTTAATTTGGCTTCACTGAGCTCAAGGAAACATCAGGCTTATTTCGCGCACAGTGTGTACAGTGCATGGAGGTCTTGGCAAACTCATCTTTGAAAGAAAACAAACTAAAGTGACATTTGAATACTGTGCATCAAAATCTGGCTAACAAGCCACTGAGCTTTTGGAGGGATAAAGAGGATGCTGCAAAACGAATGAGGCTTGATGCACCCTCAAAGTCAGCCATTTGTTTCTTTAGAGAAAGCTACACTGGCTTATTTTCTAGTGGCATGGAAAATAGCGCAATGCAAGAAACCTCACAACATTGGGGAAGAACTTGTGAAACCAGTTGCCATTGCTATGGCAAGAACTGTGTGTTGCGAGGAAGTGGCAAAGAAACTGGAGATGGTGCCACTTTCCAACAATAGTATCAAACGTCGAATTGATCTCATCTCTGAGGATATTTTGGATAAAATTCTGACAAGCCTGAAAAAAGCAGGAAAGTTTTCTCTCCAAACAGATGAATCTGTTGATATTGGAGGGGATCCCCAGCTCATGGTTTTTGTACGGTACAAGGGTGAAGATGATATTCTTGAACAATTCCTCTTCTGCAATTCACTGTCAACGACAACAGTAGGCGAGGACATCTTCAACCTGGTTGACATTTTTTTTTTAAATCATACCCTTGAGGAGACAAATTGCTTGGCTGTCTGCACAGATGGAGCTCCAGCCATAATGGGAAGCAGACTGGGATTTTGTGCTCGAGTTAAGAAGGTCAATCCCAGTGTCATTGTGGTTCATTGCTTTCTGCATCGAGAAAATCTAGCAACCCAAGAAATGCAGCCAGATCTACATTCAGTTCTCCAGGATGTCATTGCAATCGTCAACTACATCAAAGCAAGAGCCCTGAACCTGAGGGCTTTTCGAAAGATGTGTGATGAAATCGGATCTGAGCACCAACACCTGCTTTTGCACTCAGATGTACGTTGGCTCTCCCGAGGAAAGGTTCTGGAAGAGTTTTGGAACTGAGAACTGAAATCGAAATTTCTCTTCATGAGAAGAAGCACGTCTTGGCTGACCACTTCAAGGATCCCACTTGGCTGGCAAAATTGGCCTATTTAGGTGACATATTTCATCAACTGAATGAACTGAACACAAATATGCAGGGTCGCAACCAAACCATGGTCGATATTGGTTTTAAAATTTCATCCTTCAAGAAAAAACTCAGACTTTGGAGTGAAAAAAATGGCCAAGGGCAAGATTGCAGCAGCATTCCCAGAGCTGAATGCCTTTCTGGAAGACCAGTCTAAAGTTTGTCTAACTGATCTGGAAAAAAATTTTCAGGGACACTTGAAAAAGCTTCAGGTTGAGATGGACCGATATATGCCAGAAAATGTCGAGCTTCAAAAGTACAGCTGGGTCAGAAACCCTTTTGATTTGGACTTTACTGAATTGGGTGATGACATACCTGGATTTCAAGAAGAACTGATTGATCTCCAGGAAAATCAAGTTCAGAGACAAAAATTTACTCAATTGGAGTGTTCACGTTTTTGGGCACAACTGAAAGACAAGCCAATTCTTAGCCGCGAAGCTGAAAAGGCTCTGTTGCCTTTCCCAACCAGATATCTGTGTGAATCTGGATTCTCAACCCTTGTGGCCCTCAAGACCACACCAAGAAATAGACTTGATCCACAGCATGATCTGCGCTGCTCTCTCTCCATCAATATCAGCCCAAGACTGGATCACCTGATCGAGAAGGTGCAACAGTATCATGGAAGTCACTGAACTTGATGAGGAGCTTGCATTACGGCTGTAAAAATAAGCTCATTAAGAATTAGCTGAGAAATGTTGACAGAAATGTTTGTTAATTTGAAGTACCAATTTTTTTGTTTCTTCAATAAATTTGAAACTTTTCTCAATTGTTCATGAAATGAAATTTGAAGAAATTGAGCAACCTTATTGTTAATTATCTTCAAATTTAACAAATAGTAATCAATTAATTATTTATTTATATTAGGCCAATTAAGGTATGAATAGCATTCTTTACTGATATATAGTGGTGCACGTAGGTACCGGTACCATTTGGGTCGCGAGGCAAATATAATTTGGAATTTTGGGTCACAGGCAAAAAAGTTTGGGAACCCAGGCTTTAACACATTCGCCACCGAAGACGTCATACGACGTCTTCAGGACGACGTTAAGCAATGTCACTGGCATTCTCTCTGGCAGCGCCACCCAGAGGTTTCCAGAGGCCTGGAGTAAAACTAAACCGGAGGCCCCTTGGGGGGTCCCCCTTGATGCCCTTTGGAGGCCCCCTTGGGGCCCCTTGATACACGAGGCCCGGAAGAGATTCTCCCCGATGCCCAACTCCCTCTGGGCGGCCCTGTCCACTGGCAGTGAGTGTGTTAAATCCCTGCTTCTGACTGCCTAACCAACTTCAAGGCGCTTAGTAAACTGCTTGATCCTGCTCTCCCACCTGCTGGAAGCAGGTGGAGTTGCCGACGACCAGATGGAAAAGGTAGAGGTCCTCCCATATAAACTGCGAAGTTTCCTCATTCAGTTTCCAGAGAGTGTTGGTCTTTTCAGATCAATTATCTTGACCTTGGCAACGCCTTTAACCCAGACGGATTCGATGATGCGGCAAAGTTTCCCGGTGCACGACAGAACCTTCGCTGATGAAACCATTCGTAGGGAATGTCGCAGGTGCGCTTCTCCTCCGTCGTCGTATAACAGGACCTGAAGGGGCGTTTCGAACAGCAGCAGTGACCAAGTAACTCCCTGGAGCATCACAGACCAGGCTGGACTTATAACAGCGGCTTTCAAATTGTGGGGGGCGGGAGGGTAACGGGGGGAAGAGGGGGGGGGGGGGGTGTGTTCCGAGATTCAAGGACACAAAGTGACG